AAAAAAAAAAAAAAAAAAAAAGAAGACAAAATCCACTTCTCTTGCACAAATCTCCCTGATCTCCTTCTCTCCTATCCCCACAGCTCCTACCTCAAGCCCACCCTGTCTCTGGCCTGGACAACTGCAGTGGCCTCACATCAAGTGGCCCTGATTCTGACCTTGTTCCAAACCTATTCCCCACACTGATCTACAACAGGAGCTTTTTCTTTGCTTTGTATTTTATTTTTTTTCAATTTTAAATTTCCATCCTGACGAAGTGACTTTTGAAACATCAAAGCAAACTAGGCGCAGTGGCTCACACCTGTAATCCTAGTACTCTGGGAGGCTAAGGCAAGAGGATTACTTGAGCTCACAAGTTTGAGACCAGCCTGAGCAAGAGCAAGACCCTATCTCTAAAAATAGCCAGGCATCAGGTGGGAACCTATAGTCCCAGCTACTTGGGAAGCTGAGGCAAAGAGATTGCTTGAACCCAAGAATTTGAGGTTGTAGTAAGCTATGACGTCAGGGCACTCTACTGAGGGTGAATGAAAAACCCCAAGAAACAAACAAAAAACCACACCACATCATGTCAGTGACCTGCTTAAAAGCCTTCAAACTCTTAAATGTTACCTCTGGCACTTGTCACGGTTTGGTGCCCCTGTCTTAGGTAGCCTCGTCCCTGTTTCCCATGGGTGTGATGAGTTGCAGCCAGCGGCCTCCCTGCAGCACCCTCCTCACAACTCATACTTCCCTGCCACTCTGCTTCTTCCCAGCCTAACTCCAAGTGCTCCAGCAAAAACCAGCCTCAGTCCATTCTCCCCACCAAAAACTTCTGCTGACCACCCCAGTCAGACTTTTAGTCACTCCTGTGTCCCCACAGCACATGTGCATTGCAATGAACATTCTTAGCGTATCCCCAACAGACAGAAAGCTTTGTGAGGGCTGATACTGAGTCTTCTGGAGTCTGCTAAGAAGAGTAGCTGTTTGTTTGTTTATTTATTTATTTTTTGAGATAGAGTCTCACTTTGTCCTCCTTGGTAGAGTGCTGTAGCATCATGGCTCACAGTAACCTCAAACTCTTGGGCTCATGTGATCCTCTTGCCTCAGCCTCCTGAGTACCTGGAGCTACAGGTGTCCAGCACAACACCAGGCTATTTATAGACACAGGGTCTCACACTTGCTCAGGCTGGTCTTGAACTCTTGAGCTCAGGGGATCCTCCTGCATCAGCCTCCCAGAGTGCTGGGATTACAGGTATGAGCCCCCACACCCTGGCCATGAGTACGTGCATTTTAAAAGTAAAATAGCAACACAGAAGTTATACAGGCTGCAATTTAGTCTGAATGAAACAACTCTAACACTTGAGAGCCAGAAGCCTTACTAAAAATAATCGGAGTGCTTGCCCACCTTGCAGCCCTCCGGGCCATCATCTGTGGCTGAGGTAGGATAGGTGCTCTCCTGCTCAGACATGTACGTCAGTCTGCTCACACCAGCACACGAGCTCTCCACCTGAGACGACCCACTCCCACAGTGAGGCTTCTGAGGAGCTGCTGAACCAGAGGACTCTACAGCACACCTGGAAGACAGAAGAACACCTAAGGGTGGGAAGGGCTCTGCTTCACATCACTTATACCAGCAAAGACGCACTCATGCTTTCTTACTGTCTTGTAAATAACTCAACCATGGATTGTTTATACTTAATTATCTGAAATTGTAAATTATATTTCTCTTGAATGAAGTAACTGGTAAGCTATGATAATAAACACCATATACTGGCGCAGAGCAGTGCCAGCTGTCCCCTCCATAAGAAATCACCCTGTACCTCACACAGATCAATGGACAGAAAAGCACTAAAAAATTCTTGCTCAGAAAGAGCAAAGATGAAAAAAAGAATCATGTGGATAAGTGCAAAGAAATGGTAATAGTCCTGCCCACTGACGGGAATGCAGAGGCCCCACCTCCAGCTGAGTAATTCAGCAGTGCTTAGTGGTTGAAATCCCTGACCCTCAGCTATCCTACATCTAGGGAATTATCCTGAAGGAAAAAATTAACGACAACTACTTCACAAAAAACATATGTCATCACATTGCTATCAATGATAAAATAGGAAATCTTGTGTCACATAGGAGGGACTAGATTATGGAAAATCTGACGTAGAAACACAATGCAGCCATTAAGAGTCACACTGTTAAATGCTCTTTGGCTCAGAAAGAGGTTCATGATATATAAGTTAAAAAAAAAAAAAAGCCAGAAAGCAATGAACAGTGAGATCCTACACCTACTTATATACATGCACACTAGTTACTTCTCCCAAACTCCACTCCTGAGGACCTGCCATAGGGCTGTGTGCTCAGGTGCAAGGAGGGGAGATAGCACCCAAGGGGACGTAGCAGAGCTCCAGTGCCCAGCGGCACAGGGAAAGAGATGAGGTCACACCATCTTTGGAAACAGTAAAGTTTCCACACCTACTGAATGCTCTACCAGTAGCCTGAATTCAGCCTTTAACTTGACTGGATTTTACACCATCTATTTTTTTTTTGTACAAAGTTCCAAATACTCAGCTAAGCAATGGACACACACAGAAAATTCAAATTTGAATTCTGGACTTATAAAAAGCTCCAAATTGGCTCAGCGCCTGTAGCTCAGCAGCTAGGGCGCCAGCCACATCCACTAAAGCTAGCGGGTTTGAACCCTGCCTAGGCCCGTGAAAACAATAATTAACAGCTGCAACAAAAAATAGCCAGGCATTATGGTGGGCTCCTGTAGTCCCAGCTACTTGGGAGGCTGAGGCAAGAAAATCCCTTAAGCCCAAGAGTTCGAGGTTGCTATGAGCTGTGTGTGACACCACGGCACTCTACGTAGGATGACATAGTGAGACTCTGTTTTCAAAAGAAAAAAAACCCTCCAAATCAAGACAGTATTGTCAAAATACTAGTAAGTTTCTAACCAATGGTGAGGTAACAATGTGTCATTGACTAAACTGGTGCACGTCTATGTAGCTACTGTTCCCTATGTGCACACCCACTCCCCACCCCACCCCAGACACCGTGACACAGCATGGAAACAGCTCAGCACCACTGTTGGGGGGCGTGTTGTTAGCAGGATCAGATTAAATTAATGCAAGTGATAAGAAATGAACTTCAAGAATACATGTGGAAATAAGAGGAGAGAAATTTAAGTTAAGAAGTCAGATGTCAAAGGGATTCCCCAAACTGCCAAGGTGCTGGTCACAAAGAGACTCAAAGGCAGTTCCAGAATTAGTAGCTCTAAATCAGTTCTACAAACCACTTGGAAAAGAACTAGAAGCCAGAAGACCAGCTAGCAGGAAGGCTAATGGGCACCAAAACTTCCCAGATAAATTATATCTACCAGGAAAATGTTTATCACTGAACAGATGAGAATTCTAACATTGGAACATTTCACCACGTATATAAAAAACCATAATGAAGCAATTATCTCTATGAATAGTGGTCACAAAGCAGAAATATGTCAAGAAAGAGATGAAAAAACAGATGAGATGAAGAGAAATCAGGAAACATGGAACACTAACCCACAGGAGCCAGAAAAATAATTTCAAACCCCTTTCACCATAATAAGCAAAAAGTGTAAGAAGGATTTCAAAAATGATAAATAAATGTAAAACTGAAGTCCACATCAACAGCAATGAACAGCACAGTCAATACTATAGAAAAACAGTGGTGGAGAGGATGGATACCCTAAAACCAGCCCTTACCACCAAGGGAAGGTAGACAAAAATGAAAATGAGGAAAAAGGAAACATTCATGGATGGCCAGAAAGGGGGCTGTCAATTAACAGCCACCCAGTGTACTCAAAAGGAGGTGAGTACGATGGAACACAGCAATGATCAGTAGGAACAGAAAATAAAACCTCCTCAGCAAAAGAAAGAACTATACATGCAACAAAAGGTAGTGTTTACATAGGTGTAGACAAGTGTCAAAAACTCACTAGATCTAGTATATGCTACGATCTGTTGTATGCTAATTACATGTCAATAAAATACTCCAGGAAATATCAACTGAGGACACATTAATTTTGGGTCGATATAGGAAAACAATAGTAGGGCCATTAAACAGGACCAGAAATTTAGACTTGGATGAAAACACACACTGCAACAGGTGAACTGGTGAATGGCACAGGAGTGTGTCAGAGGATGACCTAGCAACAAACGTCACACATGCAACATCAGGGATGAACCTCAAAAACAAGGTGCCTGAAAGCAGCCAGGCATAAAAGAACAACAAACAGCATAAAAGAAGGAACATAATATACTACATGATTCCTTTGACAGGAAATCCATGGCCCAACAAAACTGACATGAATCAGAAAGCAGGTACCAGCACGGGGCAAGGAGAGAGAACTGCTGCAGAGGGGCAGGGAGTACTTCACAGAGGGATGGACAAGTCCTACATGTTTTAGAAGGTGGGGCTGACATAGGTGAGACCAGTGCCAAAAACTCACTGAATCTATTATCTGCTACAATCTACTGTATGCTAATTACATGTCAATAAAAATATAACATGAAAATGCATAATGGAAAATCAGAAAATTAGAGATGAGCCATAATTTGATTGTAGGCTTGCTAATAAGCTAAACCTGACCCTTGCAGAGCTCACAGATTAATCCACATGCCAGACACAGATCAACGGGCCTCCACTGGTGTTTACTGTGTTGCGTATGGCAGAGAAAAATGCATGCTAAGCAACTCTGCAAAACCGAATCAACTCAGACCATATCCCCAGCAGTTTCAGCTCAGATAATGCCTTCCCTCAAATTAATTGGTCTTTTTCCACTAAGTCTCCTGGTTTTGCCTCAGGCAGAAGGGTGAGTGTGCCTGGCTGGCTCACCCAAGTGGAGTGAGCTTCCCAATTCAATGGTCACTTTAGAAAGCTAAATAAAATGCCCTCATTCAAAATATCTGACCATATACCAACTTGATGAGAAAGCTCAGCATTCCTCTAAGGGATGCAACCTACACTTAATAAATAACTGCATTTTGTTAAGAGTTAAAACAACAAAAACAAAAACAAAAACAAGTGGGGCCAGGAGCGAAGCCATCCAGTCTAGAATTATTTTGGCCCTGATCTCATAGTAAAGGCCAGTTTGAACAAGAAAATCATAGTAATGTAAGTCATTATAGAGGATAGTTTTTATTAAATGCCTTCATATGTATTTTTTTAAATGTGAAAACCAAACCAAACAAAATAAAATTGTAAAGTACACAGAGGGAAAAGAGACTTGTAAAAAACACTGAAACCGGCTCGGCGCCTATAGCTCAACGGGCTAAGGTGCCAGCTACGTACACCTAAGGTGGCGGGTTCAAATCCCCAGCCTGGACCCGCCAAACAACAATGACGGCTGCAACCAAAAAATAGCTGGGCGTTGTGG